AGCGGAAGAGCTCATACGTGTCTATTTGGAGGTACGTGTCTGTGATATCGGAGGACAACCAACTTTCCGTTATCAAAACAAGTGAGGGGTTGTGTAAAAGTAATAGGGCGCGTAGTTGAGTCATCTTATTCTGAATAGATCGGGCATTAATTAACATTAGTGTCAGGAAGGATGAGTGTTTGTCTAATAAAATGGTGTGCTGTAAACCCTGTGGTTTGTCGCTTTTACTATGAGAAGAGGAAAAAGTGGGAGTATTGGCTCTACGTTCTTGTTTGTTTAGTTTAATACCAGCATAGTTAACGGGAGAAAGGTGGTCGTAGGTTATTTTGGCGAAAGAAGTATGTTCACGAGTGTTGGGTAGAATCGGGTGAGTTATATGGATAGGCGGTGTATTCGGGGGGTGATCATGTTCCGTCAAGGAGCTTTTAAGACGAGAGACAGTTATCGACGGTGATAAAGATGTGTCACTCCCCATCAGGTCGGAGTATATAGAAGGTGGTCTCAGAATAGTGGAATTGTCGCCCTCAACATTTGGAGACCCCATAGCAATACTGTTGAGGGGGAGAGAGATAAAAAAGGATGAGGTGGTGTGTGTGCCAAATTAGGGGAGATCAGAGAGTTATAAAAGGTGGTTTGGTTCTGGTAGTATTTAGAATCGATAGGTGGGTCCCCAAGCAGGCCAACATTATGGTTGTCTTGTGTGCAGTGGGGTGTTCTACTCCTGTTACGGGTAGTTAGGGGAGTTGTATGTTTCAAATAATTATTGCATGATTGTCTGACATTGTTGCCGAGGATGGTGTTCCTGTTGTGTGGGCTGTGCTGATTCCTGTAACCTGCATGTTTTAAGCTATATGGCTTATTGGCATCATGCGTAAGTGTGGTTTTTGTCGGGCGTAACCTCACGTTAGGATATGGGGGTACTGCCAGTTCATTATGCTTGTTGTAATGCATTCGACTACTATGAGTAGGTGCGTGTTGTGTATTGAGAGATCTGGAGTACTTATGGGTGTTTAGAGAGAATTTGGTATTATTTCGCATTACAGTGTTTGGGTGGTTATAGCTATTAGAGCGATCGATGTGAGGCTTGGGTTTTGGCTTTTCATCAGAGCCACAAGAAGAGTGTTTTGAAACTGTAGATGCATAGGTGGGTGGGCATTTTGTTGTAGTTGAGTGTTTGGGTTTAGGGTGAATGGTTACAGCTGCCTGGTGTCTAGTCTTGTTCTTAGGACTAGTAGCAGTATGCGGCGTGCCTCCGTTTTTGGGAGGGGTGGGGTATGGTGTTTTAGGGATAGCGCTATGGCCAACGTTGTAACTGCCGCTACCACTAAGGCTGGGTTGATTGTTTTGCACTTCATTGGAGTTTCGACGTTGGATGGCAGTCTTGTCATGGGTGATTCTAACTTTCTTAAAGGTTGGAATGCGCCTCAGTAAAGACTGGCTTTTAAGGAGGTGATTGGCTTCTATGATACTACCAAACTGAAATAGAATGGGACAAGAGGCTTTAGTCTGTGTTTTACGTAATCTTCTCGCTACACACCAAGATTGCGACAGTCCACATTCTTGTAGTAGAGTATTTTTAGCAAGCTTTAGATTCGTACTATCAGGTACATTATACGCAATGACATTGTGCATACACTGAAGTCTTTTCAGCACTTCAGCTGATATGTGGTCAATTATTTTTTCAGTGTTTTTTATAATTTCGAGATCAGGATTTCCCGGAACACTGATTAGGTATTTATACGGTAATAGGTCTTGAATAGTTTGGGTGAGGCTAGATTTTATTTGACTGCTTTTAGAACTATCACTGGTGAGATTATTAGAGTCTATATCAACATTATCATGGTTCATTTGGTTGCATAAACATTTGTTGCAACTGTCTACCGGGTGGTCATCTTGTGCGTACTTAGTTGGGGGATAAGGTATATGTTTGGGTGAGTAGTCGAGATCTACATTATTAGGCTGGCTACTGTAAGTGGGCTTATGTGCACTCTGTTGGCCATTACACAGGATGACCGATTGTGGATTTATTGTGTGTATGGGGTCAACCGCACTGTCTAAATACCGCTCACAACGTGTAATGTGTGGGCTGTCAAATGATGTCGGGGTAGGCGGTAGGTGATTACTCTTATTTATATCTACAAGCGAGATGCAAGGTAGTGACAGGTCATGTCCAAGTACATGGTGCACGTCTAGTGTAGCTGTAGGAAGATCAGAGTATGATGCAGACTGATCAGTGTGTTTAGAAAGCTTCACATTATTCGCGTGAGTGGTGGATTTAGATCTTTTGCACGTGCTATGAGCATCAGGAGAGATTATGTGCTTTTTAGATGACCTGGACATTATTAGAAGTAATGTAAATATAAATTTTGTATTGGGTGAGCAGCGACTGCTGTATCTTTACTTACTAGATGTGTAAAGTTTTATGGTAGAGTCAGATCAATATTTGCTAATAGCTAATATATTAACGATAGTGAAAGTGGAAAGGTGGTCAGCGTGTGAAATAGTGAGCTTAATGTACTACGTTGAATCACAGGATGGGGTGTCAAATTAATAGAGCCCTATCAGAAATGAAGTATTTTTTCACTAATAAATGTTGTTAAATTAGAAGGAAACACTAATAATAATAAAAAGTACAACCACCTGAAAAAAAGTTACAACCTTCAAAAGAAGCGCCAGATAAGACGACACTTGGAAAACCACTGATATAAAGGATATAATGTAGTGAACGAGAACACAGTTGGAGACAGTCAAATGTATTTGAATACAAAATTAAGGAATATCTTAGTAAAATCTAAGAATCATACAGTAATTCACTTGCAAAACGTCAGTCAATCGTCTCAGAATTCATTGTTTCTTCATTTCCCCACCGATCATCCTCTGTTCGCGATTTTTCTTAATCTTCTGCCTCCAGGTTTTTCACTTTTGACTGGCGATACATACTACTTATATCTATCGACATCAGTAGCACACACCACAATAAGGCTATAGATTTAATTAGTTATAGCTCCTCCTATAGCTGTCCTGGAGTCACTGTCGATCACAGGCCCAGGTACGTGATGAGGGCTGGTCATGGGGTAAGCAACCCCATCCCAAAGAAAACGGCGTCGTCAAACACACTAACTGGAATAAACAAATTTAACCCTTTAATCCCAGCCTTTCGAGTTGAAGAATCTTCTTTTAGAGGCATTATGACACCTTATGATGAAGGCCGATGTTTATAGGAATTCACGAGGCCTAACATCTGAAAACTAAGGCGGCAATTAATATGGACTTGCCAAATATCTGGCAAATGTGGGAAACCGGGAGGACCAATCAAATGGTTACGGATGTGGGAAGATACAACCTGGTGGTGTTCATAATCAGTTTAACCCACTGGACCCAAGCTAAATGGATGATGGTCGATCAAGGAGAGATGCACTCGAGCCGCGAAGAACAAAATACGCAGCGCAGTCAGGTAGTTGCTCCGATGCTGTCAAAGAAGAACTTGAAGCGCTTACAGGATGGGAGTCCCAGTAACTCATGGTCATCAGAGTAGCTTTCAAACAAAAGGAGGAAATCACAATGAATGTTATCCAATGTGATGCGCCTACTAATGATTGCAGCGACGACGATAAAGATCGGTTTTATACGAGACTGGGGTCGATCGTAGTGATGTGTTCAGGAAAGGACCTGACCATCATGATGGGAGACTAAAACGCCAGTGTAGGAAACTTATAGTCATATTCTACAGACTTCGTTAAATGAGACCAGTGCTTCCTTAGCTTCAGTTTCATCTTGGCAACTACCAGGTGGTGACTTGTAGCCATGTCAGCTCCTCTCCTGGTTCTCACATCTTCCATTGGCCTTCTGAAGTGTTTACTGAAGCGAATATGATCGATCTGGTTCTGTGCAGTGCGATCCAGTGAGACCCATGTAGTTTTGTGAATGCGTTTGTGTGGGAACACTGTTCCGCCTATAACCAATTTGTTGGTTGCACATAGGTTCTCAAATCTCTCACCATTCTCATTTCTTTCTACAAGTCCATGTCGTCCCATAATATATTCACACGGTAATATCTCACACAGATACACCTTGACCAAGGACGGCACGACATGGACGAAGTCAGACACATTTGTATTTATACTGAGACAAATATTTTTTCTTAAACTCAGAAAATGTCACCGGTCTCATTTACAAAGTCTGTGGAATATGACTATAAGTTTTCTTGCAATTTTATGAAGAAGGTATACACCACGTTTAATGATTTACACCAGGACTCCAAAACGATATATAGCTTCAGGAAAGTGATCGCTAAGCTTCTGGCTAAAAGATTACATCCCAAGAATTCTCATTCTAGAAGGCTGTTGTATAATGACTGTCGTCTCGTCTATTACCATGCTGACCTGAGTTTCCTAACGTTCGAGCCTCTCAAAATCAATGAAACTCTGAGTTCTTTAAGCCCTCACAAACCTTCTGGTTCAGATGCTGTTTGGCCGGAATCCAGAAGAAAAGTACCTGTACACAAAAGGGGTAACAATAAGGAAGAGTCTTACCACTGACCGGTTTGTTTGCTCTTAGCAGTAGTACAGGCCATGAAAAAAGTTACTAGTCAGTCTCTTCGCGATTAAAATTTTCACGACACGATTTTCTGCTCTATAGATGCTTTGACACGAACCTGTCGGCTACCTTTAGTAGATAGATCATCTCACTGAGACACAACAGTCGAGTACAAATTGTTCCATGAAGTTCTCCGAGGCGCTGAATAAGGTTTTTCATCGTACTTCTCTTCTTGAACTAAACACTATGGATATAAACTCGTGAATGATGTGACTCTGTCAAACGGAATTTACATAACAAGTGGGGAGTCACAAGACCCATAATTTCGACTATTCCTCTTCTTATTGTTCATTAATGACTTTCCGAACTCTTCAGACCCTAAAAGTTCTCTTTTTGCAGGGATTAGTTGGTCTTGGTTATGTCTTCATTTGTTAAAGCGCGTTCATTAACTGTACGCTACACAAATGTTCAGGAATACATTCCAGAGTGGGTTTTTATCTATACTATTCAGTGTTGGGACAAAACCTCTGCAGATTTGGGACAAAAATGTTTCTATCATATTCAATTTGATTTTTAAACATTTAAGCCTAACTAGGTTCGTAACGGTCATATCAAAAGAATTACAGATAATGAAATCCAGTCATTGGTCTTGGAATTATTAGGAAGCAATGTTTCGTATGGTTCATCTTGTGTAGTCCTTATATAGTTGATGTAGAAACACTTATATATCTTGTCCTGCAGATCCTAGAAAAGCACTGGGCATTAAATTACCTTTCCTAGTGTTAATTGTAAAAAATCTCAATAAGTACTTTACGTTTGAGATTCAGGTATGTCATTTGATTGCTCACTTTATTGTGTATTAGATCCTTGATGACGAGGGTGTTAAGAGACGTTTTAGGGCCAGTAACTACCAGAGCACTACTCGAGTAAAGCCATTTATTTGCACCATGCCTCTCCGTTTGGAAGCCAACTGGAATAACATTTACTTCAACGTTGCAGACTTTACAAAGCGTGCATACGGGACTAATTTCGTCGAGGTGCTGCGAGTTCAGGTTTGTAATGACCATTAAAATAAGATCTAATTTCAAGCATGTTGCCAGATGCATTTTCATGTGCTTTTAGAATGAAATTACTTGTTATTAAGGAATTAGATTCCCTTTAAAATGGTTTTATCAGCACTTGTTATGTTACGCAATGTCACGGAAAGTGGTAAGTATTAGGTTTACAATACTTAAAACACGAAAAATATGGGGGAAAATGAAGAGATGTGTGTGGATACTTACAAAATCGCATCTAAATGCAAGTTAATGTATAGGAATATAATGCAGTAATTTCAGTGGGTTATTATTTGTAAGTTGGTTACTTCCGGAAAATCGTTAACGATGTGTAAATTAATGTGCATAAACCACATTAGATATAAACAATCCAGTTAGAATGTCGGGAGCGTGTTCTCCTGATGATTCACCACTTATTGATTATGTGCTATGTGTATGACTCCAAGTATGACACGTATATACATTAATCATTTACATACCAATGTCTCTTAAGCCTAATGACTTTATACCAGTAACAATGGAATCCACGCATAGTGTGATCAGGATTTGTATTTACACGAACACATTAGCACTATTTTAATAGGATGCACAGGTAAGGAAATAGCTATATGGGTGAAATAGAACGTTTTCAGTACATAAAAATAATTTAAGTGCTCGTGCGCTGTCAAATAATCATTACACTTTATTCTAATAAGCTTCAAAGTTTCTCATTGAATAATGTTAATTTTATTGATGTAGGGGCGCTACGTGTAGATCCATACTAGAACTCACATTTCTACTTCAGTTTTAACCCATCATCCATATGATGCATACTTGTCACTAACCCTTATTTAATTGTACCTAAGCCAAACATTTTGATATTTCTGTACGCACTACGTGAGTCCCGTATGTAAACAATTATTTGAGGTTGTTATCAGTTGACACGAAAACTACTTTCCACTGCGTGTATCATGGACTCCTTTTGAAACATTAACACTTACTATTAATTTCTAACTGTTGACTAGATGCAATAGCCATTGCAACTGAGAATAAAAAATATCTTAACTAGTATGCTTATAATAAGTTTTCAAATCTTAAAAATAGTTTTGTATAAGGTTGTATACTTTGTAGCACCAAAATATATATCAATGACTATTAGAGCGAAAATGTTACTTTAAAAACATCGCTTTTCGAAACCTATTTTCAGATTCACGCTAATTGTCGAATAAGACGTATATATTTTTGTGACCGCCTCTATTCGGACGAAGAGCTCCCTGCAGAGTTCAAATTATACCTCCCTGTTCAAGTAAACCGGAACACATAGATATTTTCATTGTAAATGTTTCCCTGTTTCAATAACAATTTTAACGCTTTTCAAACTATCATGTATATGTTCCAATTTGGTGCATAATAAGTATTTTGTGTTATCCATTACACCGAATATTTCTACTTTATAATAAAATAATTCGTGAGAATTCTCTAATAACAGTTATTTGTTGAATTTCATGTTCATTTATGTTAATCTTCTTGGTTAATGTTCTTCAGTGTGTTAAAACTACTGCTGAATTACACATTGTTTCCTCAGTTGCATCATAATTTTACTGGGTTAACGTCATGTTGTAACTATCATGCTTGAAATGTTTGATTTTATGCAAGTTTGGTATTTCTTGTTTACAGTTTCCCGAAAGTTGCTTATTCGCTATTGATATGTATCAACTCTTATGTAGATGTCTTACTTTCACTTCTGATTATGGCTAACCGACATGTTCAAATGTATTTAAATTCAGTGTTGATATGGATTCATCTACTTGACATGTCTCAACTACGAACAAACTAGATCCACTATTTATAGTCAGTACTTAGTAAATGAGAATAGAACGTCACTTAAGTAATGTTTTGCGCAGTTTCATGCATAAAAAACAGATGCCATAGACTATCTTACTCATAAATGACAGTTTTCTTTTTAAAAAATCCAGCAATCATTAAGTCTTGAAAAAATATACTTTGTTTAGCTTCCATTGCTAAGTAACATAATAGTTTCCTTGTCGAAATCATGTTAAATCATAAGAACTTGGCTATGACGCAGTTCTTTGGCTATGCCGGCGAGCATAAAAGGTTAGATTTCTGATTGCACATGTACTTCCAAATAAATACATCCGAAGTTAATGTTCAATGACTAATTACGATTTACGGTGATTTCCGCTTTGATATATAAGTGGTTTTGATAACACGGAAATATTGCTGGTTTTCACAAAATTATGTGGCTAGACTAAAAGGAGTTTCATGAAGATAAGCTGATTGGTGCCATTATGTTTAAAACAGTAATTGTTGTATATTTTATAAAGTTTTAGTAATTCTCAAGGCTACCAGTCGTATCGTAATTGTGAAATACCATATAAGGACCAAGTAAATCCCCGCTCTATGGAATATACGGCACATATAATCTTAAAGGTCATCTGTAAACACTCAACACCACTATGTTGGTTAGTTAAGTAATAGAACAGTTTATAAATATTACTTAACCCCTTGACAATGTGTAGAAGACTCATTTCGTAGTCGTGGTTTATAGTTCATGTGTCATTTGAAGTCCTGGACTTGGAGAGAATAATTGGGGGTTAAACATGTGGAAATGTCTTCTCAGATCTATCTCTTCAAGATTTGCTCTGATTTCAGCCATCACGAGGACGAATGGTATGAAATTATGTGTCTGACGTTAAGTTACTTTGCATTGTTGTCGCTCATTGAGTCTTTCACTCAAATAGTTTCGAAACATATATCAGAAACATGTCAAAACATCTTTTGCATAAATTTCTAGTAGCAGAAACTCATTAGAATAATATGGGACAGTTTATGTAAATTGTCTTTAATGTAATCTTTCTGATATGCTTAGTTCGGAGAGCTCTACGTCAGTATCATCATGCGACTGCCTCTATAATAACCTATGACTTCATGTTTTCTAGAATAAAACAATAACATTACTCATTTACCTAGTTCATATTCCCCTGCTTGACTTCATTGCTATGTTGGAGATGTGTCGAGATAGTTGAGTTTTATAGTGAACATAGCGGACTGGTTTGAGCAAGACAACCATTTTAAACCAAGAAGCACTGAACAACTAATGTTTCCTAGTATGGGACAGCGAATGTTCGCAAACTTACTGAGGATCAGAACTATTATATTCAGATCTCGCGGCAGGCTCTGAACCTTGACTTAAATCTACACTGTTTGTGTAAACATGAAAAATACTACCAGAAAAGAAGTGCATGGGTTCGTGTCTTATTGTTTTCGGTCTATTGTTTAAAAGTTGAGTGCTTTGGCTGCTGAAAATCAACTTTTAAGATATTTGGGTGAAGAAGTAATTCTGAAATGAAAGTTATTATTCATTCTAAAATCCAGTGGAATTCTTGTTAATAATTACTAACTACTTGTTTTGGTTCTTTCCAACTAATTCATTTACAGAAATTACGAGATTTTAAAAGTGTAACTATGTTATCCAGCCGGTATGCGAATCCATATGTTTTGTTTTCTGATAACAAGGTTTTTTCAGAATATATTAACTATCAACACCTATTTTATTTGTTAAATGTAGATTGATATTTTAGACTAAGTAATGATTATTTAATCAGTTTTATTATGTTTTTACAAGGAAAATAATCTTATTCGTAAAGTGTTACGATGAAACTACTAATTACACCGTACTATAAATCAAACCCGCTACAAAAGAGAATCATTTTGGCACACCTACTTCTAATCTAAAGTGTCCATAGACCAAGTTGACTATTTTTGCAAACTATATATCATTGGTGTACTGGATATATATAATAAATAAGAGTATTCGAATTGATGTGCTTATTATTCCCAGAATAGTCCAATTTAAGACATATCGAACTCGATGAGCACAACTGAAAGTATCATATCTGGAATTCGTGATAAGCACGGAATCAAGTACAAAGGAACTACCAATTAGTACAAATATCACAGTGTTAATGAAAATTATGCACCAATGAACCAGACCTTCATAGCTCGTTTCACTATTACAATTCTTCATAATCAATAATATGAGTATATTTGAAAAGAAAATTAACATGTATGTATATTACACTAAGATGGTTGATAGCATCTTGATAGTTTTCTTACTGTGTATTATATCGTGACAGAGTTGTTAAATAAAATGATAAAGAGGAACCGTTGAACCTAGGAACTCCTCACTGTCTACATCGGTTTCAATAACCAAGAAGTATCACTAGCCACCAGAAAAAGTGGTTACATTTGTAATTTACTAGGTTCTTTACCTTTTCGCTGTAGAGCTAAGTCACGTAGAAAAACCTTCATACATCAAAGCACACCGTAATTCACTACCATGAACAACAGAAACTTACTTACTTACTTACGCCTGTTACTCCCAATGGAGCATAGGCCGCCGACCAGCTTTCTCCAACCCACTCTGTCCTGGGCTTCCTTTTCTAGTTCTATCCAGTTCTTGTTCATTCTTCTCATGTCTGTTTCTATTTCTCGGCGTAATGTGTTCTTTGGTCTTCTCCTTTGACCTTCAGGATTCCATGTGAGGGCTTGTCTTGTGACGCAATTAGCTGATTTCCTCAAGGTGTGCCCAATCCACTTTCAGCGCTTCTTCCTGATTTCTTCCTCTGCTGGAATCTGGTTTGTTGTCTCCCACAGTAACTTATTGCTGATAGTGTCTGGCCATCTGATCCGAAGTATCTTGCGTAGACAGCTGTTGATGAACACTTGTATCTTCTGGATAATGGCTTTCGTAGTTCTCCACGTCTCCGCCCCATACAGTAGAACTGTCTTGACATTTGTATTGAAAATTCTAACCTTGGTGTTGGTTGACAATTGTTTTGAGCTCCAGATGTTTTTCAGTTGTGAATATGCTGCTCTTGCTTTGCCGATCCGCGCCCTCACATCTGCATCTGATCCACCGTGTTCATCAGTGATGCTGCCCAGATATATAAAGGTTTCCACATCCTCCAAAGCTTCTCCGTCAAGTGTAATTTGATTGGTGCATATTGTATTGTATCGGAGAGTCTTGCTTTCCCCTTTGTTTATATTGAAACCTACTGCTGCTGAGGCTGCTGCTACACTGGTCGTTTTCTCCTGCATTTGTTGTTGCGTTTGTGATAGAAGAGCCAGATCATCCGCGAAGTCTAAATCCTCAAGCTGCATCGTGCCTGTCCACTGTATCCCGTGATTTCCTCCAGATGTTGACGTCTTCATGATCCAGTCGATGACCAGGAGAAAGAGAAAGGGTGAGAGTAAGCAACCTTGCCTAACACCAGTCTTTACTTCAAACGAGTCGGTGAGTTGTCCTCCGTGGACGATTTGGCAGTTTAGTCCATCATAGGAGTTCCGTATGATATTTACTATCTTCTCAGGCACGCCGTGGTGTCGAAGAAGCCTCCATAGTGTCGTCCTGTCCACACTATCAAATGCCTTCTCGTAGTCGATGAAGTTGATGTAGAGTGATGAATTCCATTCGATTGATTGTTCCACAATGATACGTAGATTTGCGATTGGATCTGTGCACGATCTATCCTTACGAAATTCAGCTTGTTGATCTCGAAGTTGGGCGTCCACGGAATCCTTCATCCTGTTTAACAATACTCTGTTGAAGACTTTTCCTGGTATTGAGAGGAGAGTGATGTCCCTGTAGTTGTCGCATTTGCTAAGATCGCCTTTCTTTGGTATCTTGATCAGAAGTCCTTTTTTCCGATCTGTTGGTACTTGTTCTTCATCCCAAATCTTACTGAAGAGGATGTGGAGTATCTTGGCAGTTGCTGTTACATTTGCTTTCAGTGCCTCTGCCGGGATGTTGTCTGGTCCCGCTGCTTTGCCACTCTTGACTTGTCTAATGGCCATGCTGATCTCTTCAATTGTTGGTGGGCCTATATCGATTGGGAGGTCGGTGGGTGCTGCTTCGATGTTGGGTGGGTTCAGTGGGGCTGGTTGATTCAAGAGTTCTTTGAAGTGTTCTACCCACCTGTTTCGTTGTTCTTCAATGTCGGTGATTACTTTGCCTTCCTTGCTTTTCACTGGTCTTTCTGGCTTACGGTAATTTCCAGCAAGTTTCTTTGTTGTATCATACAATTGTCTCATGTTTCCTTCTCTTGCAGCCTTTTCCGCTGTCGTTGCTAAATCTTCAACATATTTACGTTTGTCGGTTCTGATGCTCCTCTTCAGTTGGTTGTTTGCCTCTGTGTATTCGGCTTGTGCCTTGGCTTTTTCTGCTCTTGTTCGGCTGATATTGATTGCTGCCTTCTTGTTCCTTCTTTCTTCAATTTTATCCAGTGTACCAACAATGATCCA